ACCCACACACACACACACACACACACACATATATATATATATATATATATATATATATATATGTTTCGGACGGATTCAACTCGGCTGGGCAGCGTTCGGGAAATTACGACATATCTTCTCGTCAGGTATACCTCAATCTCTAAAAACTAGATAGTACAACCGGTGCGTGTTGTACAACCAGTGATGATTTACGGATCTGAGACGTGGTCCTTCACTGCTGGCCGTATGAGGACGCTCAAGGTCGCTCAGCGAGCTATGGAGAGGGCTATGCTCGGAGTTTCTCTGCGTGATTGACTAAGAAATAATGATATCCACAGTAAAACCAGAGTGACCGACATAGCCCAACGGATTAGTAAGCTAAAGTGGCAATGGGCCGGCCATATAGCTCGAAGAACCGATAACCGATGGGGAAGAAAGGTTCTCGAGTGGCAGCCTCGTACCTGTAGGCGTAGTGTAGGGCGACCCCCCACTAGATGGAGTGACGATCTGGTAAGATATGCAGGATGTCGATGGATGCAGGTGGCTCAGGACCGTGCTTTGTGGCATTACTTGGGGGAGGCCTATGTTCAGCAGTGGACTTGTGAAGGGCTGTAATGATGATGATGATGATTGTTTTTCCCTTTTTTCATTTTATTTTACACACACACGTACAAACACACACACACACACACACACACACACACATATATATATATATATATATATATATATATATGTATGTATATATATATGTTCTTTGTACTTCGTTGGAGACAACTGGCGCCACTGCCGTGTAAACGTCAGGTCCCTGTATATTTTTAAATTAAAAAATGGATAAGTTCGATTGTAAATATTGCAAAAGTGATCAGATGTGTAAAATTGTGAACATTAAAAGCGCTAACGTTATCCTTTGAAAATATAAAGACTATTGTGAGAAAACGACGATTGTTTATATTGTGAGCAAGTGACAGTGAAATTGACTAATTATGTGTAAATTAATATGAACTAGACTATGTGCATTTTTACAAACTTAAAATAAACCAATGTGATACGAAACAGTGTTAATTACAAATTTAGAACAAAAACAAGAACTATTAAAACCGTTAATTTTAATTTTATTTAAACCGACAACATTGTGTTATGTATACATTATGTCAGAAAGTTGCCTATCTCACGATTTAAGACGATATTACACAAATTTCTGATTAATAAATGTTATTATAATGTCAAAGAGTACCTATATTATTATTACTTGAGGGAGGCCTATGTTCAGCAGTGGACTTGTGAAGGGCTGTAATGTTGTTGTTGTAACATATTTATTATATTATTGCAGTTGTCTGATTCAAAGAAATAGGAAAAGACGAGAAACTAATTCTGAGTAATGGATAAAGAAAATAAAACCTTAATTTAAAATAGAACTGAAGATATTATAGTTTTATAAATTTAGGGTCAAACATAACTCAAGTCTGTGATGTGGCTGAATTCAGCTACCACAGACATGACAGTTTCCATTTCGATTTCCTTACAGATGAGAGGTTGTACGACCCTTGTTACACCAGATGCCGATAATCTCATTTACTAGTTTTATTGTGGATTTTGTGTATATTATTAAAGTGTTTGTTTTTTGTTTTAAGTATCACCTCCTTACTTTCCCTATCTTTCAATCTATTTGTAAGTTTCCAATTAACCTCCCACTGAATACAATACAATAAATACTACAATTGGTATAGTAAACAGTTGTATAATAAAACAAAATAGCAATCGCACAACAAAAATCAGCTATTTAGGTTGTTGCGATATTGTTGTATAACCTTAATTTTGCTAAATCACTTGTAGCTGCTATTAGATTGCATAAATCCGCAGAATTTTCAGTGATATTTAGATAATTTATATGGTATTAATTGACACCACTTTCTTCTTTTTACAATCTGGGCCCAAGAATCTATGAAAGCGTATAAGACTCCTTTGAGAGGAAAGTATATTTGTGAGTTGGGTATTCCTGTAGTAGAATAGGCAGCAGGTGGAGCTCTTCCGAAAAGACCTAATACGATACATAGACGCATATTCAATATATTTTTAATGGCTAAACTGGATTTTTAAAATGGTGGATGGACTTTTAAAATTGAAAGGATATTTTGTTCATCACTGCATGTTATTACACAACGTTTTTGTTTGCACCCCGTTGAAGATCAATTTCTTTGTCATGATGCAATGAAGATATCAGATACACTATTTTACACGGTATCGGTGGATAGAAAATTATAGTTATATCCATTTGGAATTCAAACAGTGTTGTATTTGTTTCATGACTTCTCGTAGTAATCCAAAAACCGATTTTATTCATATTCTTTTACAGTTTGTACAGTTAGCATTAGTACAATTCACAATCTCATCCATGGTATTATCAGATAGAAATAGTTTAAAACTTTGAAAGTATATCATTATATCTCTCGCAACCGTTGTCACACTAGGCAAACGGTTAAGAATATTTTCAGCTCTGCTACGATATTAATCCTGAATGGATCATTTTGCCATTTTGTTCCCCATCTTTACGTTTATAATACATAATATAATACTCCGGATTGGCGTAATTCCGAAAGTGGTACTCTGAGCTCAGAAATCAGAGCAAACTCAGCATTAATATCGCTATTTGTTGCTATCACTGCATTCTCAAACGATCAGATTCATTGTCAAACTCACGTTTTATACTTACGTATTCTGAACCAAACTCAACGTTTTCATCTAAAAGTGATCTTACTTTATTAATTTCCTTTAATTGTGATATTATTCTATATAACCTGTACAGAAATATTTCGACATAAAATACATAAAACAAAACAAAAAACGAATGTACGTAACTTTTATCTACGTGCTTTACGGGGTGGGGTGTTCTATGCCCAAGCACACTTTACACAAGTGTTACTTGCTTGGAGACAGCATCCAGATCAACTAAACATTCCTACACTTTTAAATCGAATTAAAAAAATTAGGTACCTACTCAATTTCACTGTATGTTTTTATGCGTGTTATCTCTGAACATTTTTCTGGGTGAATGGATTTCGATGATCTTTTTTAAAACTGGTGCTTCTCGTGTAGACATTCTTAATAATGCGTATTTAATTGACATTGAATACATTGATGATATTCTCATTTTATTTATATTGAAGTTGGTTGTACAAAATTTTTTATTCAATCACTTGTGTAACTTTTAAGTGATTGCAATTTTTTAAGGTCTAGGGAATGTCAAACTCTACCTGGTAAATAGAGGGTTCGTTAACTTGTTTTACTTTATTCCCCACGATTCCAGTACTTTACAGAGTTTACGGACTGAGATGTTCGACATCTCAATGTCCACCACGGCTAGCTTGTGTTTTTAAATAATTATTTTGGTCCAGTCTACGCAGCAACAACTCTTTATATCTTTAAGTCTAGAAGTGGTATGTATGGTTTTGGGATTTAATTTTATTAATTATAAGATTCCAAGAAGATGGTAACACCCAGCTATCTTTCCTTTTGAATTTAGGATATATTTTATTTGAATAGCTACGTTAATCATCATTGGCTGTTTCCGGTGTTCTTTAGCGATGTTTTATAATCTATCAAATTTGATATAATAGCTGAAAAAAACCTGTACGTGTTCACAGACTGCAGAATTTTCTGAGCATCGATTCTTATATATGTTATTTGCTCTTTAATATAAGAAGATTAAAGAGCATATTCTTATGTATGCTCTTTAATGTAAAAAATCTTAAATTTCTATGTAAAGAAACCACACTCACAGAAGATATTGCACTTGATGGATGGTAATAACTATCTAATCTTCTTTGGCAGAAAGCATACTTCAAGCTCGTTTCTTCTTGCAGTCACTCTGTGAAATCACTGACATGTGGTAGTAAAGCAGGTGTACGCTCGAATTTGGCCAGTTTCATGCGTTTATTGTGACGTAGGCGAAGGGCCCGACGCTTTTCATTCAAAGCTTGTTTAACGTGCTGAAGCTCGGTGGCCAGGTATTTACGATCACAGATCTCTTGCGACCTCTGAAATAAAAACAAATTCATGGTAACTTACTGTACAGGATGATGGTGAGATTAACCGCTTAAATATCTGTTGGTATGGGTCTTTTTTCTATAACACAGTGAATAGAAAAAAGGTCCAAGGTGTTATGAGTATGATAATCTCAATAGGTATTTCCGCAATAAAATTTTCGAATGCGTCGGCAACATCGCTCTCTAATTTGACAATTCTGTTACTAATTTTAAAGATAATATGTGATCATCATCACTCTACCTTTCATTTGTCAATACAGTGCAAGTTTTTATGACAGTTTTGCTGGAGGTCATTAACGATATGACGAAATGATTAAATATATATTTAGTCAAGGTGAAAATCATGTTTGTCGTGCTTTATTATCGTTGAAACTTTTATAGAAGTTTCGTTCTGATTAACACTGGTAAGATGTGTTAATCAGAACAATTTCAATAGAGAAAGAGGCTGGTTACTACCGCCTGCTTGGAATCCTGTAATTCATAAAATAAAACTAAACCCAAGTATACCACTGCAAGACTTCAAACCGCAGTAAGTTCGTTCTGCGTATATCATTTTGAATATAAATGTGTGATACGACCGCCTGTGGAACACATAATTTAAATTACTCTATTCGTTTTCTGCATTTTGGTGTAAGTAATGAAGAAAATTAACTAATAAATAAGCTTCCCAATTTGATAGCACCTTAATATTCTTAACATATTATCTAAACCTGTTGTGTATAGGAAGCGTGTTTTAGTAACTGATGACTAAGAACAAAATTCGAGAATAAAATAAAATTCCGACTTCATCCAACAGTTATTAGAATAGTACTTAAATTATGAGATCAGATATAAAACCTCATAACTCGTAGACTAAAACTTTTCATTTTTTATTTATAATTTTCTTTAGATTTCATTTAGTTGTAACACATCACTCAATTTTCTGATTATTATCATTATAGGAATAAATGAATACTTAGAACGCTGTTGTTGCAGGCAGACCCGGCCAGCGTAGATCCAGGAAAGCTGTCTCCGGCAAGAGTGCGGCGCGCAGGTCGTTCAATGTCTGTTCAATCATCTCTTGATCCCTATGGATCAAACACAACACTCTCTTCTACCGGCTCGAGCGATGTTCCTTCGTCTGACTCTCGGCACAACTAACGCGAGGGGAACTCCCCTCATCCCGTGCCTGAACCCGTCCCTGGCCCTTCCACTGCTCTAACTACCGCTACTGCTCCTTCTGATAAGCCACCTGAGAAACTCGGTCTATTTTCCTCTATTAAACGTGCTGCTAGTAAAAAATTTGGCGATCGCCGCTCACCGATACCAAAAACGAGAGAACCAAGATCCAAATCAGATTCAGTCAAACATGCTGCTCTTACGAGACAAATATCAGAAACTGTTGCTGCTGCCGGAGATCCAACATTCGAACGCTGTAAACCAAGAAAGCGTGACAGTGAAACGGAGTTTCCCGTCAGAAAATCTACTTCAGAAATTTCTGAAACTTTTCCATTTGTTCGGCGTGCGCTTGCTGAAATAGAAAGTGGATTCAACTTCTTTAGAAAATCCATAACATCGGATGCAACTGAACCTAAAGCGCCATTAGCTAGAGCCGAGCCTGTGGTCGTGGTAGCAGCGGCTGAGGACGACGCGCCTGCATCTCCACCGCCTCCAATGGGACTAAAAGAACGTCGTGGATCACGTGGTTCACCTTGTGCAAATTTACCGCCTTTGATGCTGCCTCCTACTACACCTGATCCATCGCCTGGTCGTCTATCTCCAAATCGACTGTCTCCACAAAGACCTAAGGAGCCAATGTCAGCACCTGTAATAGGCAATCCACCACGTCGTTCGAGAACACGTTCAGAAATGCCTCCCGATCCTCCACCTCGATCGCCACTGACTCCACGTCCGGCATCCGTGTCTCCAAAACATACGTTCGCTTTTAAAATTGTATTGAAAAAAGTAGAAAGTACGCCAAATACATCATTTGACCGACCTGAACAATGAGAGTACCTCCTTTAAGCGCGGCCGCTGAATGGTGGTGGAGTACTCAAGGTAAATAACGCGCTTTTCTCCGTATTCTAGGAAAAGCTAGCATAGGTTTGTTGGCAGCAATGGTTTAATAAATTAAGAGAACATTTTGTAAGAACAAGGCCACGAATATCTTCTTATGAAAGTCAGGGGCTGGTCCTCTATTGTTATTATAACTATTTCATTATGTGTGTTGATGTTAAATTGATAAAAAAGGTTTATATCTTTAGATAAAACGAAATGTGAAAGATAATATAATGAAAAATATTTTACAATGCTTGGAAGAAAGTATTAACATATAATATAATAAATATTTTTGTGATGTTGTTATAAAATTAGATGTATAAGGCTATCTTCTTAATAAATTATGTGTGTACGTAAGGTTAGGATTTCTGATATATATTTAATATTCTAAATAAAGTTTCAGTTTTTGTTTCTGTCTTGCATTTTATAAAAAATGTTTTCATTTTAAATTAAATTTTGAACTGTGAACTGACTGTATATAACTATATTGATTTCATATTGTTGTAAAATAGATTCATCACAACTTATTCAGTAATAATAATCATTATACTTATTAAGTAATAACTGAAAAATGTTCGTTAAGTCCCTTACATATTCTAAGAATAAAACTTATTAGTTAGTCTGTTCTTTTACGTCATTCTTTACAATAACTGAGTGAAATGTTGGTACTATATACTGGTGGAAGTACTGCTCACTAGTAGATAATAGTAGCGTTTGACGAATAGCACAATTTTTTTTGTTCGGATAGTAATTTCGTTTTTTTAATGAAAATGAAAAGGCGATTTTCTTATAAACACTTTGTTGAGTTGTATATTATTCATTCCGGTCCATTACTTTTTCCATCATTCTGGCAGTAGCATGATTCCACGTTCATAAAATGATTTTTCTGCGCGGGCAAAAATCTGATCCAGGTGATTTTCGACCTCTTCACTTTAAGTAAGGATTTTACCATCAAAACAATTTGTAGTGAACTTGGAGATAAATTAGATGGGGAATACGGTGGGTATGGCAGTATTTTTTTTATTTTTTTAAAGTCTTGTAAAAGTAGTATATCCCATTAAAGCTTTTGACGAGGTAACAAGCTTGTATGAGATCTCGTATTATCTTAGTGGAATACTACACCTTTTCTTTGATCAATTCTGGCCTTTTATATTTAATTCAATCCTTCACTTTTTCCAGCTAATTAAGGTGCACTTCAGAAATGATCGTTGTTTTTGTCAGGTAAAAGCTCAAAAAAATGATTCTTTTGAAATCTCATCAAACAGATAGCATCACCTTTTTTAATGAATATCGGCGTTCGAAGTCCTTTGAGCCGATTTATTTTACTTTTTATAAAAACGAGGCTCACCTGATGGTAAGTGACTACCGCCTCGCATGAACAACTTGGGAATTACAGGTGCGTTGTCAATCTGTTAGAAAGGAATAAAATCTTTTCATGAATTTCTCTAAGTCATATCGATCCGGAAATATCGTTGGTAGTAAACGATTTAAACAAAAGGGTTTTACGAGGAAAAAAATTCCTAGTAAAACGCACAGTGGTTGACCGCCAGGCATTCAGATGGTATTAGGATCCATGATCTCTTGCTTATAATATTGTTGTAGAATACCCATTTCTCGTAGATCATGCATTCTCTCATAGACCATGCTTTATGTGCATATATTATGTGCTGTTATTATATTGAGTACATACCTCTCCAACGATGATCCTATTTTCGTCATTATGAAATAGAATGTACTTAAGTGATATTTATGTAAATAAATTAACCTCATATTATATGGGATCAATATCATAGTAGGCATCGGCAGGATGTTGTGCTATGATGGGGCAACAGTTGTCCAACTTACAGTGTAAAAATTGAAAAAAAAAAACATAATTATAAAAATTCATATTGTATAAAAATACACTTGAGTTAAAAAAAAGTGTTGTCGCCGTCTATTATATTTACCAGATACCAGTTTGTTTTGCTATTAAATTATTATTTAAAAACTTATTTTTAATTGCTGGGGTTTTGAAATTTTGATATTTTAAAGACGTCTTCAAATGCATTTTAACGAAAAACCTCTCTCGATAACAGTTGTAAGTAAACATTGTTCTAAATATTGAAATGATTTATTTATTAAACTGAATATACCTAATATAGGTAGTTTTAAACATTTTTCACATTTTTGCTAAAAACCTTTCGAGTATAATAATTTTACCAAATTAATATTCATAAAAACCATCAAAGACGAATAAAATCACTATATATAATTACAGAAGCATTTAGATCTTTCCGTACATTGCTAATATTTGTTTTAAATTAAAATGTAAAAAAATCTTTATTAAGTGTGCTTAGATATATGTTATTTTTAGCTGAGTATTACGAGTAGCTTTGTGCTTTGATGAATGTCTTTTACCAAACGGATAAGTAATTAATAATTATTAAGTTGAACTGAATGTTTTATATTTATACTGTGTAATTAAATGTGACCTTCAAACCAATTCTGTTGTATTCTTTTGTTTTACAGTAAACAATATCAAATTATATTATATTACTATATATTATAGTAGACTATATCATATATTAGAGCCATGGTAGCTCAGATGATTAACGCTCGCTGTAAATATAACAGAACGCGAGTAACCCGGGTTCGATCCCCGCCGGTACCAATGAAATTGTTAATTGCAATTTTAAGTGCTGATTTACCACGTGCTCGGCAGTGAAGGAAAACATCGTAAGGAAACCTGCATGTCTGAGGAATAAGAAAAAAATATTTCGAAGACTGCTTGCCCTAAAACCCTCTCAGAAATGAGGGGAAGCCTGTGCCCAGCAGTGGGACGTATATAGGCTGTAACTTCACTTTTACTTAACTATTATTATGTAGTTAATTATCATTTTTATTTTGTTTCGTATTCTATATTGCAGTTACATCTACGTCAAATTCGCACTACTCTTTTGGTTGACTAGTAGATATTGCTACAACGCATTAAGTTCACCCTTTGTATTGTTCTGTTTAAGAAATATATCTTTTCGCCACGAAATCACTAACATTAATTCTAATGTTAGTGAAATAAGTAACAGGGTTAGCGACGTCGAGAAAAGGATCGCATGTCTTGAGCAGCAGGCAACGGACTTGCCGAGTCAACCCGGAGGGTCCAAGTTCGAAGATAGCATAGCGGAGTTAAAGTGTCGACTTAACGAGCGTGATCAAGAATTACTTTTAAACGATCTGGAAATATCTGGTGTAATAGAACAGAAGGGCGAAAACCCCTTGCACCTCATCACTATGCTTGCGGCTAAAATTGGCACTGAATTGGACGAGCGCGATGTTGTAAGTGCAAGGCGTATAGGCATGCGCCGCGAGGAAATACCAGGCAGCGGTGACAAGCGAAGGCCGCGTCCGTTAGTTGTCCGTCTCGCTCGTCGAGTGATTCGAGATAAATTAATTCACGAAGCGTGCGTTCGGCGAGGGGCGGATACTGCCGGTTTGAACTTAGGTGGCGAGTCGCGCCGATTTTATGTTAATGAGCGGCTCACCTCAATCAATAGGCAATTATTTTATAAAGCACGGGAAGAAGGGCGCCGCAAAGGCTGGAGATATGTGTGGACGCGGGAAGGATGCATTTTTGCGCGTCGTGATTCTGGTTCACCCCGTTATAGAATTCGAACAGAAATAGATATAAACAAAATTTTTGGGGATTGAATAGTTTGAAGCGAATTTTAATCTGTTCTTTATGTTACTTCTTGCACGATGTCAATTTGGCTATCGTCTGGATTATAATTATTTCTCAATGATTGTTTCCCCTACGCATCTACGTAGCTGCTATTACGAGGACATTTTATTTTTATTTTTATCTAGACTAAATTTTATTTCCATTTTATTATTAGGTTACATTTTATTTTTGTTAAGTTGCTTTGCATACGTTTATGGAGTATGGAGTAAATTTTTTGTCTGTTATTATTTTGTAGTTACACTTTTAATATTATCACATTTATTCTTTGTCTTTTGTTATAGTGAATATTGTGACAGGTTTAATGTTTGCTTTCTAACGTTTAGCAGCATAACGGGAAATGGCGACATGATATTGACAAAGGCTATTTCCCCTCTGTTTTCAAAAAAGCTATTGTTACACCCATCTATAAAAGTGGAAATAAAGATGAAATTGAAAATTATAGGCCTATCTCTGTACTTCCAGTTCTGGCAAAAATTTTGGAAAAGCTCATTAACAACCGCATTAACGAATTCCTTTACAAAAACAGCTTGCTATCAAATAATCAATTTGGCTTCAGAAATGGCGTCTCCACTGAAGACGCAGCTCTGGCACTTTCCGACACTATCTGTAAGCACCTAGATGCAGGCTATAAATGTGTCGGCGTCTTCCTGGATCTTGCAAAGGCGTTCGACTCTGTTTCAATTCCAATATTATTACATAAGCTTTATCACATTGGCATAAGAGGGACACCCCATAAACTATTCACAGACTACCTAACGAATCGCCTACAGCATCTAAAACTTGGTGACGTTATCAGCCAGTCATCTCCCATTACTTACGGCGTTCCACAAGGCAGTTTACTTGGAGCAACATTGTTTTTGATATATGTGAATGACCTCTGTAGTCTCAAACTGCGATATATTTACCTATGCGAATGATACCGCGCTGATTTTCAGTGAAAAGAGTTGGGATTCTCTTAGAATTACGACTGAATCAGGATTACGACATATATCAAATTACTTAAGATCACATCTATTAACACTTAATGTATCAAAAATCCAATTTGTTCCTTTTATGATACGAAAATCTACCTTACCAAACTCGGACTTTGCTCTCAAAATTCATAGCTGCTCCCAACACCAGGCGAAAAATTGTCAATGTGTTGATATTTCTAGATCGTCTACAATTAAATATCTAGGTATCACTATTGACCAGCATCTTATATGGAACAAACAAATTGAGTGTACCATTGACAAGG